TTCTTAAAAATATATACAGTGCTGCTATAATTTCACCAATTGATAATTCACAACAATCTTCTTTATTTTTCACGTTCTTCTAGTTGTTGTTATTTTCTTTTCTTCTCCATTTCTTTCTTGCTCACTTTTTCTTGTCTTTCATGCTTTTATTTCTCTTACATCGAGGTCAATCTTTCGAAAAATAGTTGAATGTTTTTTGCCAAATTTCCTTTTTATTTTTGATATTCTTCTTAACTCTTTTTTCATGTTTTAATTTTTAATTTTTTTCAAAGTTAACTTTCTTTTTTTATTCTTCCTGTTTTCTTCTTTTACTTTTCCTGTTTTCTTCTTTTTTTAGCTATTTTTCTTCTTTATCTTCCTTTGAATGCACAATATATATAATCTCAGATTTTACTGCAATTTCAGAAAATGTGGAATTTTTCAATTTGTATTTACAACTTTTGAAAAGTGGCTGACTCCCTTTTATTGGTGTCTCCAGTAATCGGCATCTCCAAATATTTTTTTTCCTCAAATGCAAAAGATCATTTGCAATAAGATCTATATTTTATATCTTTCTTTTTTTCAACCCATTTTAAGCTGTTCTTCGAGAATTGTTTATTAGTTCACTTTTCTTCTTTCTTCTTCTCTTTTTTAATCGATATTTCAATGAAGCTATTCAAGATCTCTTCTTTTTCTTTTCTTTAAGTTGTAGGTTAGAAACGAGATAATAGCCAATAGCTTCTTCTTCTTTATTTATCTTCTTTTTTATCCCGGTTGATGTTCGAGCTTTTGCAATCCCTTTCAAGTTTCTTCTATACCTCATTTCCGATTTTTAAATTTATTTCGTTTTTTGAAAGTCTTCGCAAAGTCGAGTGACATCTAAAGGACTTCATCTTCTTCAACATTATTTTGCCAACCAGGCCATTTTGGAAGGACAAAGTTGCATTCAGTACGAATTTAAATGTGCATTTTATGTGTATATGTGTTATATGTGTATGAGTCGATATCTCGCGCGCCGTCAATTTTCGTACGCCCCGATGGATCTTCTTCCTTTTGTTCTATCTCTCTTCCTCTATCCTTTCCTCTTTTCCTTCTTCAACCGCTTCTTCTTTCGCCGCCATCGCACCGCCTCTTTGTCTGCAAATAGCGCAGAGGAAGCAATGTGAGAATTTATTTGCCCAACATCCACCCTTGTCCTCCTGTCATCCACTCCTATCTTCCGCTTTTTATCGCTTTGGTGATTTACATCCTACACTCGTAACGGATTTCCCATACTTGACATACGATGTTGTATTCGTCATAGAACGTAATTAACTATAACTAACTCTCCGGTTCAATATAAATCCGAGAATGAAATTTATAAGAAAAATTTAATTTGAATACCCCCTCAATTCCGAATTAGTATATTTCTCTTAAAGCAATATTTTTCTACGATCTTATCGTTTCAAATAACTCAAGTATCTGTACTATTCCGCATTCCAAAGATACGCCAGGGAAAAATGACCGAATTCGCTGAAAGTTAATTGATCTGTATACGTACCTAAAGCTTATCCATCATCTCGGAAAGAGTCAGTCTGGAGGTGGACATCGCAACGCCGCTGTCGCTACTACTCTGTACGCTACTATGATCATCACTGTCCGATTGGTTGCTCGTGTAACCAATCACGTCTACTTCATCTGCAACAAAAAGCATGGATTCCACATTGTTATAATCTGAAAAAGAGAGCAATGAAAATAATTCTTCATCTACGTATCGCATACAATAAATAAAAAGACATATAAGTCTTATACCAGTGACATATACTGAAAAAAATTACTTTTTTAATTGTAATTAAAATATTTGATATACGCATTATGATAGTATAAAATTTTTTACTTATTAAATTTATCATAAAGAAAACGAAAGATATAAATTCATTTAAATTAACACAACTAAATTATTTGTTTTGCTTCTTCTGACTTTCTTAAAACTCCTGACACTCAAATTGTGACGTCAGGAAGAAATATATAAAAAAATAATAATAATAATTTGGAATAAGAATGCTTAGAATATTATTGTCACATCTTTATTTGAAGGAAAAAAAATTATTATTGCAGCAACTAAATTAAATAGAAGGAACTAAATTTTTTTGTTAAGCATATGTCAATCAAATTATTTGACTGTCTACCAAATTTTGATTATGATAATAAAATACTATCAGTTATAAAACTATTTTATATTATCATATTATTTTGAATTATTAAGATCGAAAATTGATCGATTTTAGTACCAATAACGGATTAATTTTTTTACTTAAGTTGATTAATAAATGAGGTTGCCACGAAAAATTAGTGAAAATTTATGCATAATTTGGCATCTATCACTACTATGGCGCAGCTGGTTGCGCGCCTACCATCTTCTAAGATGGCAGCTAGCTTAACATTTATCACACGAGATTAATTAATGGCAGCGAGAAGATCGTCTTCCACGAGAGAAATCTCACCCTCTCTCCGCTTTTCCGGTTAAATTCTGCGCGTTTCCATCGTATTCGCCATTCCTTCATAAATCTGCCGAAGTCACTTCATTTTCGAGCGAGATTTCCGTCCTATTACAGTCATTCTTCATGAATATGCTTGAAGAATTACTTAAAAAGTTCACGTATAAAAAAAATTACAATACAGCCAAATTAATAATCATTCTAAATCGAAATTATCAATTTGTCGGTAATTTAATAGCATAGTAATATTTTAAGTAAGTTGGGATTTATATAAATCATCCTGTATAAAGCATTTTAAATAGAATCTTTCCCATCAAAAACACTTCCTTTCATGACGTAAGAAGACGCACCGATGCATCAGCTGCACGCACCGTCTGGCCAATACTCGCGAGAGACGAGTACCGGCAAGGACGCGCCGTTATTATGACGTCATACCGTCAGACGAAGAGATGATGGGCAACAACGGGTGGAAGAAGGGGGTAAGAGGAGGCAGGGTAAACGAAGAACACGACAGAGAGGGAGAATGTACAGTAGCCATGACACCCGCTGGAGGGTACGGCTCGAAGAAGACGAGGGGGTGTCGACCACACTTGCGAGCTACCCTTCCCCTCGCCACCCGCAGCGCACTGAGCCGGGAGTATTTTTCCATAATCAATAACATGCCTCTATTCTCGTCACACTAAGCGAACCAGATCTGCCCTCGTCACCACCCGCCTTCCCTTTCTCACCCTTCTACCTTTGCATCCTCGACATCGCTAACCTGTCCAGGTGACAGTGGTGCTCAAAACAGAAACGGGAAGTATACAAATTACAATCGGAGTGACAAACAAGAGTGAAATATCTCCAATAAATTTAAATATAAAATATCAAATGAAGTTTTTAATGTAGAAAAAAGTACATTTGCTACATAATTTTTGTTATATAATGTTTCAGGATTATATCGTATTTCTGAATAAAGTTTTCAAAATTTAGATTTTGTCTGTGTTGGCACACCAACGTGGCGACGTGCATCGCAAAAATGCATTCGCCACCGTTTGAAATATTGCAGCTTGCAGGAGTAGATGAGTTTTCCAAAGGAGTTCCAAAAGAGTAAAAAGAGGTCGAGCTAGCAGAAGGCGAAGGAAATCGGAAAACGTCGGGGGTGCACGCGCGGGGGTTGAACGTTGAAATTGATGATCCCACGGGAATCTCTCCGACGAAGCACTTATCATAAGTCACATGTGCCACGCCGGCGATTTTTCGAAAGCTCCCAAATTTCCCGCGCTTTTCTGTTTCTCAAAATAGCCAAATTTATTATAAATTTTTTGCTGTTAATTATGATTAATATTAAATATATAAAAAGCTGTCAAATTAATTATTAATTAATAATTTATTGTTTATTTAATAATAAAGTATGTTTTTCCTATATGTTTCTTACGTCAAGAACATTCTCGATATGGTGTTGTATGTCTAAGTAAGTACGAATATCATCATGATTGCAGAGTAATCATACCTCCATTACGAGATATGTGCACTCTGGTGAATCCGGCTTTACGTTTATGGACTAAAATAGAATGTATGTTCTGTATTATGGCAGTCTGGATAAGGAATACTCTCCTCTATACACAAATACACATGTAAACATATATATACATATATGCACGAAATTATTTTAGGACGATTTCCTCGGGCATCTTAATGTCATGAGATTGTTGCGCTTAGCTAAATTATTAAACGTGATAAGATCCCTCCTTAAGATTTGCTACCCTAATCATTAGTAACGGATCCTTATCGTTTACACGTTATATTATGTTTAAATGTGTGATCGCATATTAGTCGTGCAAGACATATTGGCAACTTTATTTATATTTTCCCTTCTATAAAATTTTAATTTACTTTGAATATTTATTAACTTATCTCTTAAACTGACGTACTACTAACTCGATTAACCAATGATATACATCCACGCAAGGAATTTTAGTGATGTAGTCACAGTTCTTATAGTGTTGCATATGCCTTCTGACTAAAATTGAGATCCAAGTTGATAGAGCGAAAGAGCAATATTGTATCCTTCTTGTATCCTTCTTTATCGTGTTTCTTTCGGAACTATAGGATAGAAGATATGACATATCTACTGTTTCTTTCCATTTAAAGGAAAATGTGTATCAAATACAAAGTTGCATATGTATAAATGCGTAAGATCTGGATCAATGAAGTTCTAGCATAAAGTTTCCACATTAATTTATATAACATGCTCATTGATTCAAGCAATCTTGTCTTATGCATATGCAGCTATATCATTTTGTGTGCGATAACCTTTGTATGAAGTAATAATATCTTGAACTAATAACGAGCGAATTTTTTGTTATTTGACAGAACTCAGTTTGATGAACTAAATTCTCCTTTTTTTTCTTTGCTTTTTTAAAATAGAAATTAACAAAACAAAGAAGAAAATTAATAAAGTTAGCATTCATATTTAATTACGCAATAAACAATTGTTTGTCGATTTAAATTGCAATTCAATGTTGCACAAAAAAACTTCCATTTTGAGACTGACAACTTTAGATGTCAGAAAATTTATTAATTAAGCTAGTTTCTAATACATTTTGTGAAGGAAATATTTTTTCCTCTTTGGTTTTTTGCCAATTACAATATTTTTAGTTTTTCTTTTTAAATGACATCTTTATTGATTATGATGTAATGAATTCGGAAAACTGCAAAAAAATGACATGGTATTTAGGAGTAATATTCATAACATAATAAATTTAAAAAAAAAATTTTTGTCAGAAGTGGGATTCGAACCCACGCCCACAGAAGTGGACTGCGACCTGAACGCAGCGCCTTAGACCGCTCGGCCATCCTGACATACCAAAATTACTTAAGATTGGTAGATGAAGATGAATAAAAATTATGCTCGAATTTTTAATATTCAACAAATATGACATTATTAAATTAAAAACTATTACTAAATTTTAAATGAGAAAGAAAATTGAAATGTTCATAATTCGTGTGTAATTTTTTTTTTTTTTTTTT